ATTAAAAAGGTAACAGAGTCCTAGGTAAGATTATTAGCAAGAAATTGAAAAGATCCAGTTATTCTATTAGATTCGTGAATTCTAAGAATAATGATAATGATAAAAACAGGTTTACTGGCTTTCACATAGAAGAGTCACTTACAGAGGAGAGAGAGAAGAATTAAACTTCCCATTTATCACCTGTTAAGGATTATTGAGTACTCTGGAGTCTCAAGGGTGTGGGGAAGATAGAATTAAAAATTCATGCATTTCTAAAACTGTCATGTGCCTATTAAGACAGAAGAAGGCTTTCGCTCGTGTATTCCTTTCAGAGTAGCGTGCTGCGTGACTAGGCACTGCCGCAGTCACTGAGGATAGGGCGGCTCCACACCAGCGGGAGAGCGTAGTAAAGTCTCAGACTGCGCATGTCTAAAGCCGCCTCAGCACAGACCGCGGTTTAGGAGGGGTGGATGGAAAGCGGTGAGAGGATGGTTTCTGAAAAGCACTGTGAAATTTCGCCTTGGTGGGGAATCAGTTGCCTGGTAAGTTTTCCCTGTGGGGTTTCATGTTGAAACAGATACAAGTCTTAAGTCAGTGTGCCTAGGATGAGAAAGTAACCACTGAAGTGTCAACTTAACATGAGGGAAAAGAATAAACACTTTTCACTTGCTGGGAAAAGAAGAAATGATAAGCAAACTAAAGTAAACAGGAGTCACGAAATCACGGGAAAGGAGGGAGGGCATCAGTCTCGGCCACAAGCAGCGGGGCTCAGGGCCTGGGTATCACTGATGGGCCGCTCGAACACCCGCCTCGCAGCCCGCTCTGTGTGAAAACTTCTGGTTACATGAAACTGTCTCCTTATTTTTGAGGTGAGTTTTCACACAAGCACAGACCTAAAAGGAGGAGAACTTGAGTGGAGAAGGCCACACAGATGTTTTGAAATTTATTCGACCTGCCTGAGAGAATTTTAGAAGCGACTAATTCAGCAGACCCATGGAAGCTGAATCCTGTACCATCTGTCCTTGATTCATACCCGAGCCCCTGAAAGTCCCCGAAGCGGCAGCAGTCGACCCCTGCCAAAGTGGGGCTGAATGGGATGGATTAAGGCAAGGGAGCTGGCTGAGCAGCCTGCTCGTCAAAGAGTTTGACTCCCATCTCTCCCCCCATCCAGGGTTACGTTCCAGAGAAAGGAAAGCTGTGGCCTGGGCATGGATTGAGGGAGTGGTAGATGGATGAGTGCTTACAGACTGAATGCCTGGGCCCCCGGCTCTCTTCGCTGGGACAGCCGCACTCTCAAACCCCAAGAAGGAGCTCAGAGGGGTCTTCTCTGGGGACTCCGTCTGCCCATGAGGGCCTCCCAGGCCCCCAGCAGTTGGGTGCCTGTGAGGAACCCGCTGGGGCACCCAACAGGAAGTCTTACTGCAGTTGTAGAGTTTCAAATCAAATTGTCATTTTAGTGCTTCCTTTAAGTGTGAACCACCAAGTCAGACTCACCAGACTTAAGAAGAAGACTTCTCCCAGGAAAGTAGGAGCCAAAACAAACACACAGTAAAGGGTGCTGGGGGAGACAGAGCATGCACAGGATAAGAATGCATGCAAGTAAATCTGTCGTTAGTATTCTGTGAGAGACTGGGACTGCATCCATGAGAAAGGCCAGGATTCCGTAAAGATGGAATAACTGGGGAAAGAAAGGGCACCATGAAATTTAGAAATGCTAATATGTTTAAAGGATTGGAAGATAAAGAAGGTAGGTCAAAATGGGCAAAAATCAGGTGGAGTTACAATATTAGAGAACCAGTTCAGGATATCTTAACATCCAACTAATAGGAATTCCAAGTGGGGAGAGCAGAGAAAAGAGATGGAGGAAATGACAAAATCAAGCAGATGTCCCAGTCCTAAAGGACAGGAACTCAGGGATTGAAAGTGCTCATCCAGGGCCCAGCCTGGAGCACAAGAGTGACTCCCGACACCTGGACAAGGGCCCACCTGTTCTCTAGGGGAAATGAGAAGCAGTTTGCACTCAGGCCTAGCAGGAAGAAGAGCTTAACACCGCTCAGAGCCATCACTGGGAGCTGGCAGACGGTGGAGCAATGGCATCACAGTTCTGACAGATAAGTAGTTTTATCCTGACTAATAAATAATAATAAATCTGTAAACACTAAAGGGAAAGGTTCCCTTGTGATTTCTTGATTTTCCTGCATTAACTATTACTTGACGACGACAGAAGATGAGAATTTAAGTCTCTGTAAGTCACATGCCTTGTCATTCCTCATATTTTTTAAATAAAGAAGTAATTTATGTTTAACCAAATTTTAATATTGACTTCAGTTCAGTCACTCAGTTGTGTCCGACTCTTTGCGACCCCATGAACCACAGCACGCCAGGCCTCCCTGTCTGTCACCAACTCCTGGAGTTCACCCAAACCCATGTCCATTGTGTCAGTGATGCCATCCAACCATCTCATCCTCTGTCTTCCCCTTCTCTGGCCCTCAATCTTTCCCAGCATCAGGTCTTTTCAAATGAGTCAGCTCTCCGCATCAGGTGGCCAAAGTATTGTAGTTTCCGCTTCCACATCAGTCCCTCCAATCAACACCCAGGACTGATCTTCTTTAGGATGGACTGGTTGGATCTCCTTGCAGTCCAAGGGACTCTCAAGAGTCTTCTCCAACACCACAGTTCAAAAGCATCAATTCTTCGGCACTCAGCTTTCTTTATAGCCCAACTCTCACATCCATACATGACCACTGGAAAAACCATAGCCTTGACTAGACAGACCTTTGTTGGCAAAGTAATGTCTCTGTTTTTTAATATGCCGTCTAGGTTGGTTCTTGACTCTAAGGACTTCCCTGGTGGCTCAGACGGTAAAGCGTCTGCCTACAATGCAGGAGACCCGGGTTCAATCCCTGGGTTGGGAAGATGCCCTGGAGAAGGAAATGGCACCCCACTCCAGTGCTCTTGCCTGGAGAACCCCATGGACTGAGGAGCCTGTTAGACTACATTCCATGGGGTCGCAAAGAGTTGGACACGACTGAGCGACTTCACTTCCCTTCACTTCACTAGGTTGGTCATAACTTTCCTTCCAAGGAATAAGCGTCTTTTAAATTCATGGCTGCAGTCACCATCTGCAGTGATTTTGGAGCCCCGAAAAATAAACTTGGATAGTTTCAAAAAAATTACCTCCCGTTCATATTTTCTTTGCTTGCTACTGGAGGAAATAAAGACATTTGCGAGGAAAGTTTAGCTTTTAATTAGTGGTAAGTGCATAAAAAGCTAAGCAAATGGAAAAAAGATTAATTCTTGGAGTAAAAAAGAAAAATGGAAGGAAGGAAATCTAATGGTAGTATATTACATGGGTAAGCAGTGGATAAAATTTGCATTGTAATAATGTAGACATTGAATATTGGTCTAATCAAAATTATCAATATATCTGAAAGGCGGAGATGAATATAAAGAAAGGCATTAAAGACAGTGGGGGTCATGATGTAATGATAAAAGGTGGGATTTGTGAGGGACATGCTACAGTTTTATAGAAGCTCCCAAATCTTAGCAAATACAAACACATAATGAAAAAAAAATCTTAAAAATTGAGAAAAAGCTAATCTATCAAAGTACAGTTGTAGTGGGGGGTTGTTAGTTTGCTCATTTCAGAATTTAGTAAATAAAATAGAAATGAGCTTCCTGAGTGTTTCTGATAAAGAATCTACCCGTCAGTGCAGGAGATGTGAGTGCAATACCTGGGTTGGGAAGATCCCCTGAAGAAGGAAATGGCAACCTATTCCAGTATTCTTACAGGGATAATCCCATGGACAGAGAAGCCTGGAGGACTGCAGTCCGTAAGGTTGCAAAGAGTTGGACATGCCTAAGTGACTGAGCACACACGCATGGAATTATACAAAGCATTGGAGAAACAGCAGAAAATATGAATAGGGCATTCATTTAAAGTAACAACAGGAAAACATCATTTGCCCTTCATACTGGCAAAACTTCAAGAGTTACAACATCCACTGCTGGGAAGACTGGAAAACATAGATCTTCTTGACTTATGATGGGTTACCTCCTGATAAACCCGTTGCAAGTTGAAAATACTTAACCTACCGAGCACAGTTTTCCCTGGCCTACCTAAAACGGGTGCTCAGAGCACTGAGGTTATGGAACTTGCGTTAGCCTAGAGTTGGGCCAAGTCATCTGATAACCAGACATATGTTATAATGGGATGTTGCTAGAAATATAAATCATTACAATAATTTATTATAATCACACTATTTCAGGGGGAAGTAACCTTTAAATATCTTTTAAAAATGTTAATGCTCATATTGTTTGACTTTGCAGTCTAAATTTTGAGACTGTGTCCTACAGAAATAATAAAACCAGAATGTGCTGTATGTGTCTAGAAGAATGTTCATAGTGGCAAAAAAATTGAGGAATACCTGAATATTCATAAACAGAATAATTCTGGATAGAATTGACATATGTCCATACTCAAATATTTATTCAGCTGTTAAGTTGGGGCTGTTTGTCAGCATGGACATATCATTAACTAGGAAAGCAGGTGGTGAAATAATGTCTGATTTTCCCTATTCTTATAAAATATATAGTAAAGACTGTGAATATGATGAAATATGTATCTGTGCGTATGTACTTGCAGATGAAGAAAGCATCACCCAAGCTGCTGGCAAATTGTCCCATTTGGGAGGTGGGATGATGAGGCGATTTTGATCTTTTTTCACTTTTTATTATAAGCACATGATACTTTTGTAATTAATTAAAAAATTAATAATAAATCAAATAAGAATTTTACCAGAGAAAGACTTTTTCTAGGAATCATGTAGTGTTTAATCAGCAAGAACTTGGAAGTTTTCGGGGTACAGAAGTGGATGTGTGTTTCTGTGAATCACAGCAGCCTATGTGTTCATTATCAGTAATCAGGATTGGCAGTGTGTTTTTTGCGTTTTCATTAGCTATGAAGGCTGCCTGTTCTGAGCTCTGCTGTTTCACTTCTAAAACGTGCTTGCTTTCACTAGGACTCTCTTCATCAGTGGAATATAACGTAACAGAGTTGGAACAAGAACTTGAAAATGTAAAAATTCTGAAGAAAAAATTAGGTATTGTACATTTTTTTTTCCTTTTTCCTCGACTTATGTATTGGACTTTGTTTCTTATTAAAGACTACTGTAGTCTGTAATACTTTTAAGAATTATGAACTCTCTATGTTACAAGCTTTCAGTCTGCCCAAAACCATTAATAAAGAATGTCTTTTAGTTTGGAGGGAGGATGAACATGGATTTATTCACTTTTTTTAGTTGCTGTTTTGTATGTGTACAAAATGAGTTTTCATAGATGATGATGTTCAAATATATCACTCTACTATCTTTTTCACTTGTATTATTTCTGATAAATAATCTTCTGTTAATCTTACCTTTCAGTGCCTTTTTTTCTTTGTATTTATCCTTCCCTAGGTCTGTGGCACATCATGAGTACGTGGCATAGTATCTCTCATCTACTTGGGCAGTTGTTGGTCGTTGTCTCATCAGATACTGCAGCTGTTCCTTTTCTTTCATATCCTCAGACTTCAGTTAGAATATGCTGGACCTTTTCCCTCCTAAATTTTTTGTTTTCTTTCATTTTTAATTGATGTACTTTGGTCTGATATTTTCTACTGATCTGTCTTCCGTTTCACTCTTTTCAGCCATGTTCCAACTGTTGTCAGAACTCTCTGTTGGACTCTGAAGTTCAGTTACAGTGTTTTCAGGTCTCGGATTTCCATTTGGTTATTTTTCTTGATTCAAATTGTGACATTTTCCATTTTGTTGCTTATATTGAACATATCAGTTATTAATAGTTGCTTTAAAGTTGTTTTCTTTCATGTCCAGTATCAGGATCTGCTGAAAGCCCGCTTCTGTTGTCGTCTTTTTCTCTGTCCTTCCTCCTGGTAGCATTCCTCATACAAAACCATAGAGACTCTGCATGATGCTTTGTTCTTACTGGGAGGATTTACTCTCACTTCTGATTAGAGTCAGGGTAGGGACAGGTCAGTCTAGTCGCCTGTCTGGGCCTAAAGTCGTTTGAAACTGGGTTTTGCTCTTTGTGAGGGCTTGTCTGTTTCCGGTTTGGCCTTCCTCTTTAGGTACAGCTTTTCCTTGGTCCTGGCTAAAAGCCTGCTTGTTTTGTTGTTGACTCTGACCCTATCTTCTTCCTGCGGTGTAAGCCTGACAAGCTTTGCTCAGCTTCTCTGCCTCCTTCTGCCCCTTTTGGTTCCTCTTCTCAGCCTTTGAGCCACTGATGCCTTGAAGGGGAGAGTAGCTGAGTGGTTTTGCTCTTTCCTTTCCCTGTACCACAGCCTCTCAAATTCTGGCTACCTTGGTAGCTCCAAGCCCTACTTGGGTCTCACTGGCTCTGTTGAGTGTGCTGAAAGCTTTGCTTCAGCATTGTTTTCTTTTACCCCCAACCTCTGTGTTATTTCCTAGCCTTGTGGGTCTGTTTGGAAAGTACTGTGCAAGGCAGCATGGTGCGTATTGAGGCTCCCGTCAGTTCATCTGACAGAGAATGGCCCTCAGTTTCCATCATCATGGTGGCTCTCTGATATCTTCACACACATTGCTTTTTAAAAAATTAAATGTGATCCATCTTTTCCAGTTGTGGCATAAGGATTGGGGTGATACAAGGTAGACTTTGTCACTAGAAGTAGAATTTTGCTTCCAGCCTTTAGAAAACCGGGAGTGTTTACTTTAGGGGTGGGACCAGAGGGGGTTCTCACCCATGTTACCTGGCACTCCAGACCTCTGCCAGTGTGCCAGACTCTCAGTATGTAAATGTGTAAATGTAAAAAAAGAGAGGTAACTCTGTTTTCGGGAGTAAGCTGTATATCCACAACATATTTCATTAACAATTGAACATGTTTGCACCATTCCCTGGTGGCTCAGATGGTAAAGAATCTGCCTGCCGTGCAGGAGACCTGGGTTTGACCCCTGAGTTGCAAAGATTCCTCTAGAGAAGGGAATGGTAACCCACTCCATTATTCTGGCCTGGAGAATTCCACGGACAGAGGAGCCTGGTGGGCTACAGTCCATGGAGTTGTAAAGAGTCGGACATGACTGAGCAACTTTCACTTCACTTGGCAGTGTTAAGATTTGAGCATCATAGGATTGAGCTGTTTAATGTAGCAAACTGATTTTAAAATTAGTTTGTGGAGGAAAATTAAAAACAATTTATGGCTGTAGGAAAATATTTATGTAAAAATAATACATACTGGTTGTAGTAGTATGGAATGAAAATGTGAATCTGGAGAGAATTTTTAGAAATTGCTGAAACTTGCATTATATTTTGTTTTTCCTTCTAATAGAGAGGCGCAAAAAGGCTTCAGCATGGGAAAGAAACTTGGTGTATCCTGCTGTTATGGTTCTTCTCCTCATTGAGACAGTAAGGATTTATTTGCTGTTAAATAAAGCAAATTATTTTCTGTTTACTTTAGCATTTATGTATGACAATTCCCTCAGCTAAATGCTTTCAGGTAAACTGGTTTTCTGTCAACAGGCTTAAAATCCATGTATGCTTTTTTTTTTTTTTTTTGGTAAAAACTCAATAGAGCAAGAATTAAAATTAAGGGGAATTTTTAAAAAGTTCTCAAGATTATCTGTTTCCTCATAAAAGTGGGAGATTCATTCTTTTGTTTCAATTGAAAATTAAGAAGAGACATGGTGTTGCTGATACCCTGCTCAAACTCTGTGATAGGGTATGAAAATTATTACATTAGTTCTGATAACATTTTAACCATTTGTTAAGTATGTGCAGTTGGGTTTTTAGTTGGTGAAATCGGTTAATAAGTGGACCTTTGTTACTAGCTTTTATCTTAAGCTTTGAGATTACAATACTTTACAGAATTTTTGAGAATTTATTCTGAAATTTTTATAGTCTCATTATTTCAGGTTTATATGTAGAATTTTGGTCTTTACTGCTTTTCCTCTATTCTGAAGCATACATTTGGTTGGTTACTGAGATTTTAATATATGTATATTGGCAAAATATCTTTGAAATTCAGAACTGATGGCTTACTTTTTTTTGTTGTAGTCCATTTCTGTCCTCTTGGTGGCTTGTAATATTCTTTGCCTGTTGGTTGATGAAACAGCAATGCCAAAGGGAACAAGGGTAAAGTAAAACACTTAATGTCTTTCTTTTGCAAAAGTATTCTATGTCTACCCTGAGTGTTTCAAATAAGTAGATGAAAGCATTCGCCTTTATGTATATATATACTTCAAGCTGTATGAACTTCTTTATGCAAGAGCTTTCATAAACAGTGTTTATAAACTATGTTTTTTGTTTCTGATTTCTTATTTTAGATTGTCTGGGCCTTGTATCAAGTATCAGAGTTTCCTTTTATACTTTGTATTAGAGTTTATCTTTGTTTTATTGAAATTCATATTTGTGATCCTTTAAGAAAATGTATATTCTGTGAAATAGTGAAATATAAAGAGTTTTTATTGAAATGATTGGATGGCATCACCGACTCTATGGACAAGAGTTTGAGTAAGCTCCGGGAGTTGGTGATGGATAGGGAAGCCTGGTGTGCTTTAGTCCATGGGGTGGCAAAGAGTCGGACACAACTGAGCTACTGAACTGAACTGTAAGAGTTTATTAGATGGATTCATTGAGTTTGCAAAAGATCCAGATATGGTTGTAAGGACTCATGCTTCAGAAGAGTTAGACATTGTGTGAACTTGAATCAAAATGTTCAATTGCTGGAGGGAGTCAGATGTACATCTTTTCACAAAGTAACTTAATTTTTTCTCTTTTTAAAAAATTAATGATTTTATTAAATTCCAGCAGTTAGTCTATTTATATATATTTTCCATATGGAAGGTAGTTTCCACTAAATACTCATGTAAGCCTTTCTTTTTCTAGGTGTCCTTATAAACCTTTAGATACTTAAAGTAGCCTTTAAGTTTTGACATTTTATTACCCTTTTTGAAGTTAGCACCTTTGCCATTTCCCCATAGAAATGACTCCAAAACTTTTCCAGAATTTTCATTCTTTGGGGGGAAAAAAATTTCCTTAACCCTTTCTAGGATCTTCTGTCTGGTCTAAGAATTGAATTGAAATGAGATAGATTAACAGAAGAAAACTATTAAATTATGTGTATGAGGGAGCACTGTAAGAATAATGAGACCCCAGGACAAGTTGGGCAACTGAGGCTTATATTCCATCTTAGAGAAGAAGAGGGTAGGAGCGTGGGACTTTGAGGGGAATGAAGGCAGTTCTCCTGGAGATGGAAAAGCAGCTGTTTGGTAAACAATTGGAACACAGAACAGACTTTGGTCTCCAGGTCCTGCCAGGTTCCTGGGCCACGCTCAGCCCTGGCCCTGGAGGGTCTGATGACGGTGCTCCTCGTGGGCCAGGGCCTCTGTCCATGTTCTTTCAGGCAGTTAAGGGGTGAAGTGGAGGCGGGCTAAAATTGAAGGCTGACTGTCTTCTGTTTCTTAAAAACAGTCAGCCTGAAATGACCCTCATGCCAGAGAGATGCCTTTTGGGGTAGCAGACTTTGCTTCCCTACACGCCACTTCTCTCTGCACCATGTGATCCACTTTTTGTCTCATAGAAGAAAGCCAGTATTTATCTTAATTCCTTTCCTTCAGTCCAAGATAAAGAACCCTGTTCTTTGAGAGGCGAATTCTTTGGGCAGTGTTTTCAGTTTAACCCCCTGCCCCCAGCCCCTTCAGCGCCTGATCACCTCTCACTGCTGGAGCCTCGCAGCTTGCTCCAGGTTTCTCATCCCGCTAACCAACAGCAACAGGGAGCAGCCCTCTTCCACCCGCAGCCTCGTCCTCGTCGCTGTTTAGACACAGGTCCGCTGATGGAGCAGGGAGTCCCCTACCGTGGTGACCTCTGTCCGCTTTTTAACCCAGTTTCATGTAGCGCACGCTGGGTAAGGCCCAAGCTCCATGATACACTTTTGTGCCATCCCCTTCGTGCATGGTAGACAGGGACATACACGTGGCAGGCTCTGTTTATGATTGTGTAATAAAGTCAGAGCTTCTTAATCCTGCCTCTAGGCCTTCTCTTGAGACAGAGAGTGTTTCCAAGGTGTTTTCCACCTGAGTTAATAAGATTTCTATTAGCGTTATTTATTTTTCTTCAAAAGATTGACAAAAGTTGACAAGTTCTTCGTCCCTTACCTATTTATATATGAAATTTCAATGAGTATTCTAACTTCTGTATGCCTAAATTAGATTGTATAAATAATATGTATTATGTTATTTATTGTTTTTTGTTTTTTTCATTAGGCTGACTATATTCCTAATTATCCTGGTATATCTGTTACATGTCATTGAAGCTGATACCAGAATAGTAGTTCGTATTCAGAGTTGCTTTAATTAGTAAGCTTCGAAAAAATTGTTCCTACTTCAGTAAGAAATGATTTTTTGGCCTGATTAGTAAATACTTTTCTTGCTTGTTCTGTTAAATTCTAGATAAAGGTAGGTTTTGAGAGTAGATAAAATGTTTAGGAAAAAATGTGCAGCATTGCATTTGAAAAATCTGTGTTAATTAAATCCCTGAATTCCTTAGGGAAATGAAACTTCAAGAGCAGTAACAGGATACGTACATTCACCATCTTCCTTTGCTTAGCTTACTTCTGACATACTTTAATTGTATACTTTTTATATGTTGCCTCAGGGTTCAGACAATTACATGTTCTATTCTTACTGTACTATTATATTTAAAGATTATTTTCCCAAGAGCATTTAGGATTTAACAATAAACCCAGATAAAGAATCTACCTGCCAATGCAGGAGACTCAGGAGATGCGGGTTGAATCCCTGGTTGAGCAGGATCCCCTGGAGGAGGAAATGGCAGTCCACTCCAGTATTCTCATCTAGGAAATTCCATGGGGTCACAAAGAGTTGGACCCAACTAAATGTGCATGCACACACACATGCACGCGCACACACACACATAATCATGTCATTTTCATAAGTGACTTAAATTATATTTGAGATGAAACAGAGATGTTTGAGCTTGTTAAAAAGTGTTAGCATGTGGTTGGTTTAGTTGGTGAATTCAGTCTCATGCCATGTTTTATTTTCCTTTGAAAGTCTAGATGTTATTCCAAGGTGTTAAACATTTCTGATTTCAACTGTCCTATATTTATGAAACAGCAATTTTAGGGAAACCAAATGTAATGGTGTCACTGAATTCTGAAAAGTTTTTTTTCCCCCCAGGGGCCTGGAATAGGAAATGCTTCTCTTTCTGCTTTTGGTTTTGTGGGCGCTGCACTTGAAATCATTTTGATTTTGTATCCTTTCTTTAACTGAAGTTCTGTCTGCTAACAAGTCTTCTGTCTAGTTTTCTGGGGTAGTGGTAATTTACTAAGACACTTTCCTGGAAGAAAAAACAAGTGAGTCTTCCTCAAGCACTCCAAGTGTCATTTTGTTTTGTTTTCCTTTGGGCCTATTGAGAATTCAAGGAAGCATTCTCTGGAGAGTTTTTTCCTTGATTCTCACAGCTATCTTATGGTGTCCTCTGTCGTCGGTTTCTACAGCCTCCGATTTTTTGGAAATTTTATTCCCAAGAAGGATGACACAACTATGACAAAGGTAAGGTGCTTTTAAGTCTTAGGTGACTGTGCCCCTCTTTTGCCTTCCAAGACAAACGGACTGTTTTATTTAGTGATCGCCCCGAATGGTTCATTTGCGGTTCTAGGTATTTGTTTGTAAGTTGCGTAAACACACACTGGAAGATTTTCAAAATGCTGAATGAGTGGGAAAAGGATGTGCTCTGTTTAATTTGGATGGTGTCCATTCACTTGTAAATGTGGAGAACCGCAGAGCTTGTTAACCAGCTATAGAAGGCTCCTGAAAGGACCCTTTTTTCCTGCAAAGAAAACGTATTGCTAATGAGTAACTTTGATTGTGCTGACTGTACTTCAGGGAGCTTGTTTGAAATCTGAAGAACTTAGTTGCTACAAGTAGTAGAGACAAAGTATTTCAAATTTGAATAATTAAAGCAAGACGGAAGAGTTCTATTCAGAAACATTTTGTAGTCTGAGGCTAATTTGACTTTCTACAATATGTCATTGGCTTCTGAGTAACAAAGGCTGTTATCTTATATAGAGACTGCATTTGTAAAATATTCCCACAGGCTGACAATGAAGAATCACAGGAGCGGCTGGCTTCTTTTCTTTTTATCAGATTTTCCTTATTTTTAGCATATTCTAAAGGGGAGATATTACTTTTACATATCTTTATCTGTCTATTTAAATGTTACAGCTTCTTGAGATATTTAGCTTAAGTAAACATAAGTACTAATCTGTGCTTTTGGCATCTTTTGTTTATATGAAAGGATAATCATAGGATATATTAAAATAGAATTACTAGAATTTAGGTGTTTTAGATTTCTAGTTTTTTGGCTTTAAAGCTTAGTTTACATTAGAAGTAGATATTATATATCTTGAGCATTACTCTTGGCTTTAAAAAACAGAATCATAAGTATTAAAGTATTAATTCTTTTTTACCTGTTAGGCGAATGTTTTTGAAATTAGCAACCTCTGTCAGTAATATAAAATGCAGTTTTCTCTTTGTGTCAGGTACTGTAAATACCTTCTAGAACTTACCAATAGAACTTTAAATGTTTGTAGAAAAACTTTCTGGTTCTCTTTATTTCCTGTGTTGAATAGTATCATTAAGAAGTTAGCAAAGTACCATAGGTAACTAGGATATACAGTAACTTGCCAGTATGTGAGTGGATTTTACTTACGTGTACACTGTGTAGCTGCCCAGCATTCTTCCTGATTTCTCATAACAGATCATTGGGAATTGTGTGTCAATCTTGGTTTTGAGCTCCGCGCTGCCTGTGATGTCAAGAACACTGGGTAAGTTTAAATGAGAACTTTCCACGTGAAGTCTGTACCTTTTAAAGTGTCTTTTCTAAACTTCCTAAGCTTTTCCCAAAAGGTCTCTCTTTGAAATATATTATTTCCTCCCACATTATTTTATACTTTACTTCTATAATTTATTTGTATATAGGGCTGTACCAAAACAAACACTTTCATCAGATAAACACCATTGATTTTTTCAAATGCTTAGAAATATTCCTTTCCAAACAGCAGTCTTTATTTTTTTTCACTGACTGGTTAAGCTTTTGAGTCTTCTATTGAGGAAACGTTAAGTTTTTTTTTTTAATAAAACAATGTTTAATGTCTAGAAAATATTAAACTAATATTTTCCTACATGAAATATTTTTTAAAACGTATAATTTAGTATGTGGTTTAAAAAATTGATAATCTGTAACATGTACTTTAAGCTGCTTTTATGTCCAGGGCATAGACTTGAAAGCAGTGAGATCTTTGAGAGCATTGACATACCCACACTGACTTAAAGGGTGTACTTTAGCTCCTTAGTTTTTTACTTGCCTGGCATTCATATAGTTTTCTTAATTTTTCGATGTACAAGAATATTTTGGTCATCTTTCAAAAGTAAAACATTTCCACTTTGTCATTGAAACAGTTGAGTAAATCTTCATTTGATGTTCTTACCTTTTGTAAAACACTGTAGTAGACTGTATTCTCAGTTTATTGACTAAATATTATTTCAGACAAAAGTTTCCACTAGGCAGTTCTGTTTCATTTTCTAGTCTTAGATTTTGACTTGAGTGTTCACAAATTATTTTTTAAAATCCCATTATTCAACCTTAACAACTAGCTTATGACAAAAATTGCAAGTAACTTTGAATTGCTTTTGTTTTAGCTCTTGTGTTGCCTCCATTATTTATTCAAGACTCATAGCTCTCAGGGATGCAGGCTGTGCCAGGAAAGTATAAGCTTCATAGTGATCTTCATAATTCTTACAGAGAATTCCATATTTTAGTAGAAAGTGAAATCTAAGTGTAAATGTAAAAGGGACCGCCTTTCCACAGACTAACACAGAGCTCATTTACTTAAGAGGTCTTATTTTCTTTGTGTTTGCGTTATAGGACTTGTTATTGTTTTGACTTCTGCTTATGGTGTGCTAATCTTGAAAATGCCAAAAAATACATTTTTATAACTTGATTTGTAGCTGTTGTCATTTGTGTTATGGCAGTCCAACAATTTCTGTGATATAGCCAACCTACCATTTTATCATGTATGAAATTCACTGTGCACTGTTATTTAAGATTAATTGTTAATAGTAACATATACTGATTTTATGGAAGAAAATTACATGCTGAGTACCATTTTAATACAAAGAAAACAAATTAATGGCAAAATGTGCTTTTTGAAGATCAACACATTAAATTCCTGAGTAGTTTGCCATAGAGATAAATAAAAAGAAGAAAAAGAAAGATGGGACAATTAAAATGCGGCTAACAAACGCCTGGCCCCAGCTGTCCAAACAGGATTAATGGAGTGTATTAGGGTACAGTGAGTCATGTGGTGCTTTGCAAAATATCAACACACACTGCATTACATGTTATGCCCAGTGGCACTGAATAGATGAAAAGAAATAAATACGTTAAACAGATTCATAGAGGCTTTTCACAGTATTAAAAAAGCACATTTCTAGACTAAAAGAAAAAGCTTTATTTTAGTATTATGGGAAATGCAAACTAGAGAGTTACTTTGTCATTCCTCTATTAACCCTTTAGAATTGAGTCTTTGATTTTAAGAAGATAAAATATAGAGAATTGTCATGAATATTATCCTAGTGTATAACGGGATTTTGATTTACTAGCTGAAAAGCTTATAAGACTAGAATAGAGGATGTATTTAACAACCGAATTCCAAGCTGTGAAAGTTTTCGCTCTTTCTCATTGCCTCTCACAAGGGAGTCCTGACCTTAGGGTGCTCTCATCTGCTTCTGTGAATTCAACCAGCATTCTCAGTTAAGTAAGAAACCAAGGAACAAGGGCAATTATCACTTACCTGTATATGTGCAGTTTTTTTCTTATTTTAATCAGTTTTAGTAATGATAACTTTTAATTGTAAATTAGAAATATTTTGAATCCTATATTAATCATTTGATGATATTTTTGCTTCAAATATTTTTTAAAAAGTATAATTTGCCAATTGCTATTGCTGCGTCATAATTGTAAAATAATAGCTTTAGAAGTTGAATGCCTGGTGTGGTATGACAGACTTATTACAGAATTCTTCTGAAATAGCTTCTTATGTTTAAATAGAGAAGATTTTGTACTAATTTTAAAAATTGCCACTGAGTAGATTTTAGAAGCATATCACTTAACCACAAAGCATTAGGTTGTGAGGAGCATGTTGGCCATGTGTTCTTAGCCAAATGAAATTAATAGAGAGAGTAGTATTTTGTCCATGGGAAACATGAAGAATCTGTGTTTGAGATTTTTTTATTCGAACTCTTTAAAACCTTTTAAAAGTGATGCCATGCCAGGGAATATGATTTCTAAAGTGTTGTTTTGCTGCCTATATATAGTGCACAGTTTTTGAAGAATCCAATGTTTTGAGGCTGTGATGTCCATATATTTTTAGTAATCAGTTTACTCTTTGATATAATAAACTCTCAAGATGATTAGAGGAGATGGTTGACTAACAAGGGAAAATAGAAGAGGGTCAATCTAATAAATTACCTATAGATGGCCAGACTTTTCTATAATGAAATATTTTAAAGGCAGCAGTGAATTTGAGAATAAATTTTGTGAGATTGCGGACATGTTCTTTGTTATTCTTAATGAAGAAACAACTGAGGGATTGACAGTTTTTACCTTATTCTTTATTTGAAATCTCTTAACAGGAAAAGTTTCCTCAGATATAACCAATAGACTTTGAAATACTGTTACTAATTTCTATTATGAAATTATTTTTATAGTTATGGTTTCATCTCAAAATTCCTTCTGTAAATTATAAGTTATTCAAGGCCCAAGCACAGATATGTATATATATATATTTTTTAAATTTATATGGATGCTTACTCTTATTAAAACTAAAAAACCCGACTTATTCTTCCAAGTCAGCTGGAATCTGATTTTGGTATTTCCATGTATTTCTCATCTGGGTCCCCTCTAGCCCAACATCTCGCAGGAGATGAAGTGGATTATTCTCTTTTGTTCCTTGATGGATGGAGCATGTTTAGACACTGGTCCTTCACGGGAGAGGTCTTTATTCTGGTTTTGTGAATATTCTCTAATCTTTACCCCAAGCTTTCCCTCTCCAGTATGAATCAGAAAGAAACGCTCCTTAGACATGACAAATGAGAACTCAAAAGTATAAATCATAGTATATATTCCTAATTATGACTTTCATGTAAAAATAACTCTAAGCTCTGTATTGAAAATTTCTTAGCAAAAAATTGTATATGACTTAATTACATTCTGTTATATTGAAGAGAGTAATAAATGAGTGGTATGACTAACTTTTGATTGATTACTAATGGTCTTATAACTGAACAATAAATTTGTTTATCTAATTAGGATTTTTTAATAGTAAAGAGAAAGCATTCTGTGCCAAATGTCTGAAAGAATTCAGAGAGTCACTACTGCTCACTCCCTTAACATTCTTGTTCCCATTGTCCACTTGTTGCGTCCTTCTGATGCTGTCCTTATTTCAGAGTTCCTCCTGCCTGAGAGAAGGTTGTATTGACCACACATTATAAAGAATCTAGCCAGCTGTTGACATACATTCAAATCCCTTGAATTTTAATTTGATATAAAATATTTTTCATATGAAGATAATTTCAGTTAGGATTGTTCAGTTGGAAGATGTAAGATGTAATTTTTTAAATGTAAACCACAGTAAGGTTATAATTTGCACTAAGAACCAAGACCCTCCCAACCTGGCTGAGAATACTTAAGAGCACACCTGTACATGGCCAACTCTGAGACCGAGGAACAGATTATCTCCTTTTTTTATAGGAAGTTCTATTTAAAAATTTTTATTAAGTATGTACATGAGTAAATTCCACTTATAAAGGATATTAAAAATTAGAGCTCAGGCTTGAATTCCTTGTGACCACCACTTTTAATCCCAGTCCCCTCTTCAGAGTTTCCAAGAACCAGTTTAATGTATATAGTTGTTTAAAATCTTTTTCTGGGTACACACACACAGACACAGCACTCTGTAAAAAATTTAAAACTCTCACCTGGGTATTGCTTTGTGTGACTCCTAACTTCAGTGTTTACCCAATAGGAGTTAGAAGAGGAAAAGGTTTCAAGCTCATTTCTTCTACCAGAATTCAGACAGCTGAAGATGAATTTCAAACCAGAATACTTACCTCTTCCTGCTGAGATCACCTGTGACCTCCGAGTTGCCCAGTTGTGTGGGTTTTGCTATTGTCTTAATTGTTCTGCGGCACTTGCTGTTTGTAACCCCTCTTCTCAGATCTCCTCTTTCTCCACCTTGGGGCACCACTCCTTTTCTCCTTCTCCTTTGGCCGTTCTTTAACTGTCTCTCTTATTGCTCCTCAGCTTCACCCACACACTTGTCCTCAGATCCACTCCTCTAACCCACCGCCCATCCCTGAGCTAGGGGCAGGTGACCCCAGCTCTGCCTTCCACGGGTGTCCCCCAGCTCCTCATGTGAGTCATCCCTGCAGCAAGACCCGTAGGTGCATGTGTGTGTGTCTGACCTCCCTCCTGCCGGCACTCTCTCCTGTCCGCACTCTCTCCTGCTCTTTCTCCCCTCCCTCGTCCTTCCCTGTCGGTCCTCAGGCACTCTCTGTACAGTACACAAGCCAGGGAGTTGGGAGTTACATTAGACACTCTGCCATCTTGTACCAACACCTACGGCACTACCTGTTTTCAGCTTGTTAATCTCTCACATCGGGGCTTCCCTGGTGGCCCAGTGGTTAAGACTCTGCCCTTCCATTCAGGGGGCATGGGTTTGATCCCTGGTCAGGGAACTAAGAGCCCACATGTCACACAGCACGA